AGGTTTTGGTTGATTTTCATATGGTTTTATGAAGGATTTTATATACACGAACTGAATGCGATATTATTTGATTTATTACAGTTGTAGCCGTATGGATTTAAATCGCAATTGAAGTTTCATTCGATTTCAATTGATTTTAAAAAGAATGCTAATTAAATTTCTATTGATTCTAACGGGATTTTAATTCAATTTCAATTGATTTTAAAAGGAATCTTACTTAAATTTCTATTGATTCTAACGGGATTTTAATTCAATTTCAATTGATTTCAAAAGGAATCTTACTTAAATTCTATTGGTTTTAACGAGATTTTAATTCGATTTCAATTGATTTTAAAAGGAATCTTAATTAAATTTCTATTGATTCTAACGCGCTTTTACTTCGATTTCAATTAATTTTAAAAGGAATCTCAATTAAAATTTCTATTGATACTAACGCGATTTTACTTCGATTTCAAGTAATTTTAAAAGGAATCTCAATTAAAATTTCTAATGGCTCTAACGGGATTTTACTTTAATTTCAACTGATTTTAAAAGGAATCTTAATCAAATTTCTATTGATTCTAACGCGATTTTATTTCGATTTTTATTGATTCTAAAAAGAATGTCAATTTACTCTCTATTGATTTTAACGAAATTTCAATTCGATTTCAATTGATTGTACAAGGAGTGTTGAACCAAATTTCAATTGATTTTAATTAAATTTCAATTGATTTTAACGAAATCTTAATTCGATTGCAATTGATTTCAAAAGGAATTTTAATTAAGTTTCACTTGATTCTAACGGGATTTTAATTCGATTTCAATTGTTTTCGAAAGGAGTTTTAATTAAACACTTGAATTGATTTTAAAAGGAATTTAGAAGCAGCCCTACCAAATTCTCTCAATAAATATGCACACCTAATAATAAATAATTTCTGACCCCCCGGATTATTTATTACTAGGGGGGGGGGACGTCGTTTATTATTAGGGAGAAGCGATTACATCCCATGGCATTGCAAACATGCCGTTCGCCAACCCTCCACCCGAAAAAGCTGAAAGCTTTTGGCACCGTGTACAGGCTCCAAAGTTTGCAGTAGTAACAGGCTCTCAGCGTCTATTCCTCTCCATCTCCCTCCCTCACGAGACAAGCGTGGTAGGAGAGCCCAAGTGTCAATCCGACACCTGCAGTGGCCACATGGTGCGTTTCAAAGTGCGCGCTTAGCTTTGTGCCTTGTTGGTTCAGACTCCAGGCACCATCCTTCTCGTACAGCCTGCTTGCTTTGCAAGCACGCAATCAAAAAAGGCCTGACAATACCTCCACAGCTATCTACAAGCATGGCTGGCCCTTCGAGAGCATGCAGCTCGTCATAGCAACTGGCTCACCTGACTCCCGGGCGCTGGATCGTCAGCAATCCTTGCGGGCTCTCAGCAGGACCGCACATGGAGCAGGAATCCAGCAACTGCACTGGATCGCCAAGCTCCAGCCGAAAGAAGCTGCTCTTAATTCCAAAGAGCTATTCATGAGGGTGTTTGCTAATTTCCGACTTGAACCTGCCCAAATCTCAAGACATACAGCATACATGATAGTTGATGCCTGTGGGCCACATTGTCCGGTGTGCCTCATTTGCGTAGTGGCACTCAGAGCTTGCTGTGCTTTGCCAGTTGCATGGCTGCAAATGCTTTCCGGGTTGCCAGTGGCTGTCGGTACGGCTGCAGATGCAGAATGAAGCCTCCAGCATGATTCAACTCGCAAGAATTGCAAAATAAGTCTCATCCTGAGTCTTAGCATTGTGTTCCAGCCTGTCATTGGTCGTTGCTGGTGCTGATCCCGGTCGTGGCAAGGCCTCTACGGCGCCTCACGTGGTTTGGAGGCTGACTGCGGCATCCAATAGTTTAGGCCGCATGGAACCTCGAGCACCCGAGACGTCGTCCTGCTGTTCATCCATGGCAAAAAGCAAGCAAATTCGGGTGAGCACAACCTGTTCCCAGCGTTGTTGCCTCTGCACGTCGCTGCAAATCAGCTTTGCTGCCAGTCGCAGGTCGGCAGCCACTTAAACTCGTCACCCTCAGACAGGCTCAGCAGTAGTCAGCATCCCTGTCCCCTTCTTTCCTCGCCAGATTCTTAGCAGGCAACAACTGCTGCTGGCCCTCCCCTTCGTCATAACCTCCAACAGCGGCATAGTCTCACGCCCATTTGTCCCCTCCCGCCTGGCACGAAGCATGCATCTCACGCCCATTCAAGCCCTGGGGGCGCGGCTGACGAATTGCATCTTCATCTCGCCAACAAGAACCTGTGTGCAGGGCAACGTCTTCCTGTGATGGGTCGGCGTGAGGCGACCCTAGGCCCTGGGCCCCTAGCTACCCCTCAACTACGCCCCGTTATCTGCCACCACCCCCCACCATGCACGGGAGGCTTCAAAGAGCGTGTGCTGCATCGCAGCTGCTCAGCTGCTTCGGGCAAACCACCGGCTCATGAAGCGCGAGCCCGCGCACATCCCGCTCGGCCACCTGATGACTGGCAACCCGCAGCTGCAGCAGCTGCACCGGCGGCGGCCCAAAGCCGAAGGTCTCTGCGGCAGACGGCCGCACGACATCCAGCGCTGATGCACGGGCGGGTCGTCCTTTCCATGGACTTACTCTTGTGCGCCAGTGGGCCAACCGCGTACTGTGTGCTTCAGGGTTCATGTCTAATGCCTAACAGGGACACGTGGGAGCATCTTGACAAAGATCTCCATGGCGGCATTCTTGAACAGATTGCACAGCGAAACTTGCATGTCCAACACGTCTGGGCACATCATGGGGATTTGAGAGCGGCATCCTCTCCTCACCCGAGGAGGCTTTCGTCATCAAGGGCAACCAAGCTGCTGATGACAAAGCAAAGATGGCTGCAGCACTGGCCCCCTACACCTGTGCGTGCGCAACACCAAAAGCGTGTTGAACAGGCAAGAGGCGTTCACGCCTTCATGTCGCAATTCAAAAGGTTATCATGCTAGGCGGGAGGTATTCTTTAGCCCAATGTGGGGATGAAAACTGGCCGCGCTTGACTTTTTCGCCCTTGACACCTAGCAGGCCCCATTAGTGCAAGACGATGTCCCTCTACGACATTCTGCAACGGGTTCTTTGCTAAGTGCGTGCTATCGCGGGCAGTCTTCTGCAATATCTCGCAGGTGAGGCCAGAGCTGACGACAACCCTCGGGTTACCTTTCAGATTTGGCCGCTAGGTGTGCCGTTGCCGACCGGAGTGGGGGAGCACACCAACAGTGGCCGTGATCTGGCCTGGAGGCCTTTTGATGCCTCCTTGCGAATTTCATGCACGAATATGCACGATAACGCGCTGTTTTGTGGAGCGCATGCGCACAGCTGTCCAGGCTAGTTTATCAGTCTCTGCTTCATCGCAAGAGTGCTGACAAACGTGGGTGTTTTGCATGGGGTCCCTGGGCATAGAATCCCCGTGACGGCATTCAATAAGCTTCCGCGCTTCCATGTGCTTCCCTACACAGGCAGAGGATTGTAGGGCTTTGCACGCCCAATTTGGCACATGCTCTGCGAGGCTGGGACCCCAAAGTTTGGCGTCTGTCCTGCACGTATGATGCTGTTGGGCATTGTTGTCCCCACCCGGGCTTTGGTGCAGGAAATGGCACGTTCGCTCACTCGCAAGACCTACGTCTGCGGAAAGTATGCCGCTTTTCAGCCCCCACCTCCTGAGCCGGCTCCGTCCGCGGATCTCCGCGGGGCCACGGTTAGCCCCGGCCTCACGCAAGATTTTACAAAGCTGCGCGCAAAAGCAGCCCAGGCTGGTCGTTGCCAGCCCGAGCTGCCAGCAACCGCATGGTTGAAAGTGCCATGCATGAGTTCGGTATGCTTGCTCGCGATGGCCGGGCAGATAAGAAAGGCACCTGTGCCCACGCCCGCACACGACCGCACGCGTGCTCGAGCAACTGCCCACAGCGTATGAGAGCGAGAGGGCGCGGTGGCACTTGCACCCTCCGGTGGCACAGGCTGCCCAGTCGAGGATGCCTTCCTAGCGCGAATCTGCACAAACCTGGAGAACAGGCCCACCGACAACGCGACCTTCCTCTCCGTCCACAAGCGCCTCCCGCAGGCCCCGAGCATCATCGTCAGGGAGGCGAGCGAGGACAGCGCGCAGGCTTCGCGCCCAGCCGCCAACAAAAGCGGCAGCGCGTTTGTCTGAGAGGCCCCCAACCCCGCAGCCTTCCTCTCGCACTGGGAGCTGCAGGATGGATTTTGCAGTCTTCTGTCCTTGCACCGAACGTGTAGCAGAAAGGTTGGGAGGAGTGAGGACAAGACAAAGGGATGGGTGGATCCTTTCAACTTTCAGGTCCTTGCATCATTAGAGTTATTTATCTTCACAAGCATTTTACATTTTGTGCGATGGTCAGGTAAGTCGAGTTGTCTACAGCGCAAGGCAGCACTCCCCGAGAGCATTCATGACGGGAATAATGCCGGGGTCCATCGCAGTCCGCATGTGCCGCGGCGGCGTTGCTTCATCGACCACCCTGGATTGACCGAGGCTCATGTGCTTTTTCTTGCGGCGATGAGCTTTTTGGCTGCTGTGACACGCATGGCTTTGCTGGCAACAATGGACCCTGGAGCTAGTGCTGCGGTAGCTGTGGTAGCTGCTTATGCTAATTGGATCTAATTGGGCTACGGTGGTGTTGCAAGCGATGGAATGATCAGACGGGTCATTTGGCATGAGCCGTCTGGTCCTGGCTTGTGTGCTGTTCTCGGAGTGGAAGTGCACGCGGTGGCGGATCGGAATTGTGGTTTTCAGTTCTCGTTCAGTTGCTGGTGGCTGTGAGCGATTCGGACGTGGTGGTCATTGTCATCTTCCTCACTTTGTGGCTTCTGCTATCACCGCTGTTGAGAAGTTCGCGCACCTTCGGGTGCTCCTGGCCTGTGTTTCCCATCCTCGGTGGGCTGTGGCGATGGTTTCTTAAGCTCGTACGTCACATGTTCGTCCACCTCTGAGACTTCATGTTACGCGCTCTTGATTGCCTGAGGGTCTGAACTGGTCGTTTGTGGGTGGTTCTTTTTCTCTCAGAATATTTTTGCTGTTCTCTTCGAGAGCTGATGGGAGGCTTCTGCTTCTCATTGTTCCCAGCTGCCCATGCCTGAGCCAAGCTGTAGCTACTGCGTGGATCTGCTTAATTCTTGAAGTCAGCACCTTTCCGGTTCAAATATGTGCCCAAAGAAGAGATTGGCCGGAGCCAGTCACGAAGTCAGTCTGAAAGGTCGCCGCTGTGTTGTACTGGAGTAGGGAAGTGCGTCCCGGACTTCGGTTGCCGCATGCTCGCCGACCTTTCTGTGTATCGGAGCTTCAGCTACTTTCATCTGCTGGCTGACTACTTAGTCCGGCAAGGCATCAGAATGTTGGGCCTTTGGGCCTTTCTTGAACAAGCAGGAGTCCGCTCTCAGCCCTCAGCCGTGCACAAGAGTTACAACAGGGCCGCCCATAAACGAGATCCTCGAAGCTTTCTGACGATTCCACAGCTCTTCTATGAAGTCGTCACGTGCTCAAAAACTGTTTTCAGGCCCGGACTAACCTAGCGTTGCTTCTTGAAGTCTTCTACGGTGCGCTTGGGTTGACCATTGTTTGGGACCCGCGCCGGCGTTGTTTCAAAGCATTTCTATGCAGGTTTCGCCATCTTCCCAACTTTTGTATCTTCGAATATTTCGAATTGTTGAACTGCCAGGGGGCTTACCGCTTGAAGACACATAGAGAAATTGTGCATTCTCGCAGTGCATTGATACCGTGGATTGTTACGACATGACATAACCTGAAAATCGTTACGACTTCAGTTGTGCCCTGTAACACTTTCCCACCTGACCTCAACTCCTGGAATATTGAGATATTGAGGCGCTTTGAAGCCCCATTCCTGTAACAGTTGCCGGCTGTGCCCGCGACACCTCTGATGGCTGCCTTGACTGCCTATCCATCCCATTCCGGTGTGGTAGCCCCTTCGCCAACACCACTCTACGACCCCCTCTTCCGCGAGACTGCTGGCACTTGCTACACCTAATCGCTAAAGAACCGCTCCGAAATCACGATAAAACGATGCGCGAGCCCGCGAGTCCACGAGACTGTTGGCACTCGAGAAACGGAATCGCGCCTGAATCCACCATGAACGGCACACAGCCACCCACGTCCACCAGAGATCACCAAAGTCTTGGCAGCCTTCGGCACTTTGCCAAAAAAAACATCAAGCTGACATCGCTATAGGATGATGCATTTCGAAAGACATGGTCGAGTTTAACAACACTCGCTGGATCTCACTGGCCATGTCCACCTTTAAATCAGATGACTCTGTATTGAAAAGGAGAGCGCAAGCCAAAAGGGGACCATTGAATCATCCAGCGAATTGCTGCCTGCGGTCATGGCACGCTGCATCACATCCAGAACACGTATATTCCCCTACTCGGTCAGACATCGTAAAACTCTGCAGGGCAACCAACAGAGCAGTCCGCAGAAGAAAGGGCTGGGCAGGAACAAATATTACCTTTGGGAATCTTCACGACCAAATCAGAACAGGACGTCCCAGAGATGCATTGGAATCCAAGGAGTTCCCCCATGCTCTGCGCCCCTTCCCCACACACAGCTCCGCTAGCGCGGGGCTGCGAAAGCTGAAGATGGCACATGGAAGCACATGGAAGCATGTGGCCTCGCAAACAGCCTCTGCAGCGAAGGAGAAGGATTTGCGTGCAATGTAGCTGTCATACAGGAGTCTGCCTCCCTCCTGCAGAACCTGCATGATGCTTGTAAGGTCCGAGGCAAAGATATGCCAAATGCAGATGCGCAGGCCATGATGACGCAACATGACAGACCGAGCCTGGTCTAGGACAAGGCTGGCGATATTCTCAGCCGAGGAAAATGGATCCAGTAGATCGTCATCTTCCACCATGTCCTCCCAATTTTGAAACAAAACCCTGATAGCGCTATCTCTGGCACACAGAATGCACCACTGCCTTCCGTCGAAAACCCACTGCTGACCGCTCTCTCGTGCCACACATATGTTGAGACTATGAGAGGCGTGCTCAGTTGGCAGAGCCAAAAGCAAGTTGAATATCAACCCCCTCTCGGAGAAACAGCGTGCACGGGTTTACTATCCACGCTCAGCAAAAGTATGCTTGTAGCTCGTCTCATTCGTCTCCCTTTCTCGATCTGTTCTTCCAGAGGCGAGATCAGAAATTGAATGCGAGGGGCCCGCAGTGCTCATTACGCCTCTACTGAGGCCCCCGCGCAGCCTCAGTAATTAATCACGATAATCACTCCACTCAACAGCACTGCCTCTTTACTTTAACTTTAGGCTCCCCCAAAAAAACTGACTACGAAATCACTTCCTGGACTCCCGAGGTAATTGTGGAAGCAACAGAGTACACACAGTTGGTTGCGGCCCATTTGTCTCGGAGAATAAGGGGGGTAGTACCACTGCCAACTCACTGCTTCTCCTTCTTTTCGCCGATTTTCCTGCCTTCTGTCGGCATCGTTTCCTCCCCGTTTTGCTCCTTCTTTCCCTGGCCGTCATCTTCTGTCTTCTCACTTTGGACTTGTTGATGTTGTGTTGCCCTTCTCTCTTTTTCCTCTTCCGGGTACTTGTAAAGGGTAATAGAAGGGACCTACGTGTAAGGCTAAGAGCGAGAGCACAAATGACAACACTGCCCAGCCACCCTAAACAAGAAGTCAAGCTGGCAGACGCCTGTTTTCATGCGGTGTGGGATCAAAGCATACATGGTCATCCCGAAAAACAAAGGCTACAGCAAGTACAAAACAAACGTCTCCTGCAAAATACGAAATGCAATCCAGCATGGGCGCATCAATGACTCCCGATCGACATACATGGGCGGGGCATAACATATGCCCATCCCGAGAAAAAAGCACAGGCAACAGCAAGTTCAAGATAACCACGACTTGCAAAATGCCAAATGCAACCCAACATGGGCGCACTAATGATTCCCTGCGCCGTTGCGTGGGAGAGGGCAAGGCGCAACAAAACAATCGAGTTCGCAGTTTATGTGCTGCACAGGTTTGATGGAGCGTGGCTGTCATCATGAGGCCACACGCATCTCTTGCTCAAGGTTCAAATTGGTGACGTCGGCCTTTATGGACGCGAGCCATGGCGTGCTAGCAGCTGCTGGCCTACTGGTCAGCCTATGGTTCTTTTCACGTCCTCCCCCCATCCCGTGGCTAAGGACTGTTACTGCCTCCAACACCCCGCTGGTCAGTTGGGAATCCTAGTTTTGCTGGTGATCCTTCTTGGCACGAACCTTGCACTGGTTCTGCGAGTGACTGAAAGGCACAGCGCCGGAGTGGGTGCTTGGGCCCTGCCTTGCTGCTCGGTGAGCATGCCGCTGCACTCCCGTCCGTGAGCGCGCCAGCGGCATCCACATGTCCCGGGATGCGCTCCGCCATCTCCAAAGAGCCCCTTTACCGAGATAGGCGTGGGTCAGTGCTACGTCATACTGTTCCGCTCCCCTTTGCCGTGCCAGTTGCCACATGTTGCCACCATGCTTCCCCAAATCACTCCCACGTGCCCATCTCCACTGCTTTCTTCCCGTTGCTTCTGTCACCTTCTGTCTTCGCTCCCTCCTCAACATATTCAATAAAGTACCGCTCCCCATCTTCACCCTCCTTGTCTTCTACTGGCTTCGCCGGTCTCCCTTGTTGTCCTGCCTTTCCCCCTCTGTTCCTGCTCCGATGAGCTGGCTTGGCGTGTGTTGCTCGTGGGCCTGCTGGTGACGTTCTACCCTCGTGACCCACATCAGGTCTGGACCGTTGTCCCATCTCCCTCCGTTCTGTCCACGTGCTATATTCATCTGCTCCTTGAACAGCATCTTGTGCCGCGATGTCTACGTTGGCTGAGACCTGGCCCAAAATTCTCATGGCCTCTGCTCGCTTGGGACGGCCTGCTGTTCACGGCGCCTCCATATTTCTCCCAAAATCCTCATCTTGATGCTGCACCTATTCTTCTTTCTGTTGCAATTCCTCATCCTCGGCTTGCCCTCCCCTCTGTTCCCTCCTGATTGTTCTTTCTTGTCTGCCCGGCGGCTTGTTGTCAGGTCCGTAACCTGGGGGTCCTCTATGCTCTGGCGCTTCCTGGTGCCATCACTCTCCTATGGCTTCGCACTCTCTTCTTCGTCCTTCTACTTCTGCGTGTTATGCGCAGTCCTGTAAAGGAGCGCGCACAGGCTTCGCCCACAGCACAGGGTGTCCAAAGGAACGAATAAGAAAAACTTTGCTAGGAAGAGTTAGCAAACGCCTGTCAAAATACGTCAAAATAGAGTATCCCTCCATCCTCTTCTGTCTGCTTCTCCCCCCCACCCTCTGAAAGGCGTCTGCTCCCACGTCTAGAATCACATGAGGCGGCGTCAAAATTACTTGTTTGTTCTCTCTTGGTTTCTGAATTAGGGCGTCCCCTATCGATTTCCACGTTTTGGGGATCTTCTCTTAACCCTGGCTTAAATGAAATAAGCCCATAGTTTTAGGACGTCCCCTATCGATCTTGGGGATTTTTGCGCAACAACTACCGCCTAGACTAAATGAAGTAAACGGTAATTTTGACCGCGACTCACATACACTTGCCTCCTTTACCAACTGTATTGTGTACAGCTCTTGGCACTGATTCACGAACCTCTGCAAAATCTAATCACCTCCCATCAGCAAAAGCCGAATTTGGAGAAGCCCGAGTTGCAGAGCATGCTCCCTCACATTTCACTTAATTGTCTGGCCCACACAAAACCACACCGAATTTACATCCGTCGTAGCGATTTGCCGATTTGCCTGTCTCGGAAAAAACTTCTGGGCCTCTGGAGACCCCTTGCGTATCCCTAGTGCCATTAAGGGTATCACATCGGCTTGGCTCCCCTTATGCGCATCTCCCCTACTTGAGCTCGTCGTGAAACTTTCCCGCTCCTTGTGATGGGACATGTCGCCATCCAGGCCCCATGGACATAAAACACGCGCACACTCTCTCTTCTCCTTCTTCTTCTGGCCATGTGGACGCGCTAGCACCCCCACGGGGTTACACCCCCTGGCCGCGCACTGGTTCGTGTCACACAGTCACCCCCGTGAGGGCCGGAGTACCAGAAATTCCCCCTCCATGTTGGCCCCCCTAGATTACACTCAGGAATCACTCTCCTCTCTACTCAAACGGTTGGTGAAACGTATTTGACATTCTTCCATGCTGAATCCCCTCAGCTCACCCAGCTAACATTGAGATCTCAAATTGAGGAAAAATGTGGAAAACAGCAAGAGGTAAGTTTCTTGGGAGAACTCCCCTGGCAGCTTGACTTTGATACGTTCTCGGCGGCTTATCAAGCAACAGTGTATCCCCTACCCATAAAAGACAACAAGATCCTCACACACTTCCGCTTCGACTGCTACGCTCTGTTTGCTGCAGACCTGGCACTCCCCGGGGTAAAGGTGCAAGAGCAGGTTAACCGCCATACTTTGGGCTCATCCCCCCGTGGATGAAGTGCTCGCCTCCCACTCTTGGTGGTGTGTTCTTTCGAAGGTAATTTTCAACCGTCACAATCGGGGTTAGTGCCTAAGTCTCCTACACTGTCAGATGTTTGTTGCGCCAATTTCTGTAATTACCCGTAATTACCCGCATCTCTCCACTCCCTACTTCCGTATGCCTATGATATAACAGCGTTTTCCCCTGTATGCGGTTTTCTCCTGAAACTTGTGAAGCTCAGCACATGCTCACGGGCTTGAGCTGTTTTTTGTTTTAGTTCGAACGCCATGAGTGATATCACTGAAGGGAGTTTGGAACGTGATGAAGGCAGGTGCGCGCCCGTGCACGACACCGCACCAAGGGGCTGCCATAGCTGCCATTCGGTTTTCCTTTGCTCTCGCTACACCTGGACCTGCTCCTCAAAAATGAGCCCTGTACGGAAGACCTCATTGCTGTATCCCACAGTACTGCGTAGACTCTTTGCCGAACGTTCCCGTTTCCTGAGAGAGGAGGCGTATTTGCACAGGGGAAACCCACCAGCACAATAAGACAAGTCAACAAAGAAAGAGATTGCCTCTCCCGGAAGGGTTAGGGTCCCCACAGCCTGTCTGACAAACGACTGCGTCGTTTGGCTCAAGCCGGGGGTGGGTTCCGACTTGAGCCAAAATGACTACACACTCTTCTTCTTCTTCTTCTTCTTTGCGCATAGCCTTGCTTTCTTTCAGGGCTACAGGGGAACCTCCGCACTGATCGAGGCGCATACCTTCTTCTCACTGCTGATCGAGGCGCATACCCCCTGTCTTTCCCGGGGGTCCCCTTTGAAGCATTGCTCCAAGCCCGAGCTGTCCGCATCCCACTTTGGTCCGACCCAGGAGGCCCGACGTGTTACCCATAAACACGTCCCATTGCATCGCAGACCAGCCAGGCCCCTTACACTGGACATGCATAAAGGCAGCTGGGACTTGTGTACGGGTTTCCATCCTTCTCTACTGGCCTGTGAGAAGAGAAGAACGCCTTGATGCTGTCTCTCTTCTTCTTCGGGCTCAGCCCACCCCTGCAGGTGCACCAGGGCACAGCCCTGAGCCACGCGCACACGCAGTCTTGAGTCTGGGTCGGCACCAGCGAGGACCGGAGTGCCGAACAGTAGGTCGGCTATGTAGTGACTAGTACACAACCCCGAGTTTAGTCCAACCCTCGTCGTTCCACTGGGTCTGGACCTAGGAGCCCGTTGCCCGCACTGTACTCCCGGGTAAGGGCTCTAGCTGGCCTGCGTCCCCATCCCTCACTCACATCACTCTTCAGGGCAACTGGAGAAACAGCTACCTGCTCTGCGGGTCCAACAGTCAAAACAAACTAGCGTGCATCTTGACTGGGCTTGCTGTTTGCACACAGGTTTCCCTTGCTACCCCTGCAGAAAGCGCATTACAAGAGCTACGGACAAAGCATACACCACACAGCACATGAGAGGCCCCTAAGCCAACCAGAGAGGTCATCCGTGGTTCTGTAATCAGTGCGCATTCATGGGGTCCCGCATGTCCGGGGGCAACGATGTGCAACAGCTTAACTCTTTTTTGGGCGCCTCACCCCCGTTGAGGTCTTGTCTCTTTCTTTTCTTCTTACGAGGGGTTTTAGTTACTGTTGCTGCTCAGTGGCGTGTGCACATACCCTCTCTCTCTCTCTCTCTCTCTTCTTCTTTGTTTCACTGCTATGCCCCCCTCCCATGAGGGGGACCGGGGCACAGCCCTGAGCAGGCAAGGTCCGAAATTGAAAGAAAGGGTACAGGGAACCTCTTTCTTTCTTTCGGTCGGGCTATGGAGGCAGGATTACTCCTACATTATAGGCGTCGCTTAAAGGGACCTTGCAGGTATAATTCACTGTTGCCCGCCCACCTGGAACTGTGCTTGCAAGTCGTATGCTTGCAGCGTGTTTGCCTTGGGGCTGGTTATATTTGTAGCTGTAAGGAGACCAGTATTTAGAGGAAGTTATTATTGTGGGCCACATGCATCACTTGCTGGGGTTAACCGCGCAAAACAGCTTGTGTACTGTGTCTAGTTCCCCGAAACAGAACTTCTACACCAGCATAGGCCGGCCTTGCGGACTGCCTCAGCCTAGGGATTCGGTGGATACTAAAAATCCTGCATGATCTTGGTACACTATAGTACCATTATTCCCAAGGTTTAAGGTACTTAGAGCCATGCAAGATTTTAGTATCCACAGTAGTAAGCTGGGAAGTTATCCAAGCAAATGCTTCCTGACCTCCTGTAACACAATCGACGATGTTGAGCTTCCACGATTCTGCAAACCTAGGAACCTCTCTCTGTCTCTCGCTTTGCCACCCTCCAGAAGCGCAGAAAGATATTTTCGCTGCACTAACATGGCAACATGGCTTTGCCTCTCGCCTCAGGCGACTGCCTAGTCTCTACAGGCCACCCAGCTTTCCTTGAGATGCCAGTGGGTGACGGAGGAACGGCTGTGTCCATGTATTTCAAGATGTTCGACCGAGCAATCATACTCAGGAAGCTGTGATATGTCTGTGCGTGTCAGCAGGCGGCCCTGGCAAATGACACTCTCGTTCAAATGCATGCTCCAGCGTGGACCTGCTGTAACCAAACCTCTCATGCTAAAGCATGCTAAAGCTAACCTTGGCTTTTACATGCTTTTACGTCCTCCGCGTCCAGGGATCCGGATGTGTACTACAGTACTACATTTACTTGCAGACAGCACTTCCACTGAACTCGTTGTGGTCCCCCAGTATCCCCCAGCAGCACTTGGACTTATGACGTTCCAGTGGCTACAATCCAGTAATGTCACGGTCACCACTTGTCCTGCTTCGCCTTCTACTCTTAGTAGTCCTCTTACTCCAAGCCGGCGGTCCAAATCCTGGATGAATTAGATCCCTTATCATTTCTTACCAACCCACCCCAAACGCCCCTCTGCAAGCCTCTTTGGGAGAAATCAGCGCGACTCGCGACATTAGAAGGTATAGGCCATGGCAACAATAGCTACGCAGCAGCCAAAGACCCGCAAAACTGTAAGCTGTTAGAGCTGGATGGAAACACATGAGTTGTGGCTCAAGGTCGGTCTTCTTTGCCTTTCGCTTCTCACGCTCTGCCTGCATCGCTGGATATCGCTGGCTCACGATAAACAAACGGGAAGAGTTGCCCTGTGCAGCAACCGAAATCGGTGCAGTCTTCCTTAAAGCTACCTGCCGGAACTCTCGGCATCATACTCTTGCCGCTTGGCTGGGTCGCTCAGCACGCTGTAGGCCTGCAAAGACATGTCAACTTTGTTTGCATACCTGCACCGACGACAAAAGTCGAATCACAAGCTGCGGAGCACAGTGCACTATAGCATGAATTCAATCCAAGTGCGACTTGCGCACACTGCTTGCAGGACAAGAACAAGGTCAAACCTTCAGCGGTTGCTTGCAAAGGTTCACAAGTTGACATAGAACATGCTGATGCCCGCATGTGATGGGCGTTTTTTGTTCTCAGCCCCTCCAGGTCTGAGCAGCTTTTGGCATTCCAGCCGTGTCATACGAGTTCGGAGCCGTTTTCGCGATCAGCACTTTTATTGATCTCACTTGAGGAATCTTGGGCTGCACGAGAGGGGCCCATTTGAGGACAACACAAGAGAAATACTTTCAGGTTGCCTTGTTGAGCTTGTGGAATGTATCAGGGTCGCCACCTTTTTCAGGATGTGCCGTCAACACCTCTTGGGCAGGGGCGGCGGGGTGATGATCGAGGCCGTTGCATTGCCTCTTCCATTACTGAGGGCCAGGCAAGCGCCCGGAATCTGGTCCGAATCTGGCTGCAGGGACAGCCGAGACTAGTCATCGAGCCAGCATCACAAGCCTCCTGTAGAGACGCTTTCCTGTTGACGCCAAGAAGCGCATAATAGTCCTGGTCCCGGGAGGAGCAAATCGTGCCACAGTCTGAATTGAACAACTGCCTCTCCATCAACTATGGCCCATGCCTGCTCTTGTAGACCAGTCCCTGCCTTCATCTTTCTGCGATTACAACAAACGGATTCTCAACTCATGATTTTACCTGCTGTGCTTTTGCCTACTGCTTGGATCGGGGTGCATCCTCGCCTGCTCAGCCATCTTGCTCTGCGCGTTCCTGTGGGTGCCGGCATTCGACAGTCTTGAGCAAAGCCGTTCCGTGTTAGCGAAGTCCCACCTTGCTGCCATGCCTGCCGCATTTGCATCAACGGCAGCTTCAACAAACCAGTACCAGCACTGCCTGATGTTTTGGCAGACGAACTCAAGCGAGTGCCATCTGCCCGGGTGCGGTTGTTGGATGATGCGGGATGAACATTCACATGAGCAGGATAAACAATTCGTGGTCTGTCCTGGCGTGACATCTATCACCTCATCATCGTCATCATCATCCTGCCAAATATAATAAACCTACAGTAAGCAACTGCAACGAGGGTTTCCAGCCACTGTGAGATGTGCAGGACTTTGCTGAGGTTAGCATGCATTGGCACAAGCGTCCTCAAGAGGTGGCTGTGGTCCATCCTGCCTCAGCGGACATGATGCGTCATCAGGCTGGAAACGCATTTTGTTCGTAGTCATTTTGGGCGCACGCCTTCGTGTGAACATGACGCCGCCATCAGGGCCCAAGGTCTTCTGCCACTCTTCCTGTTCTGTCTACTGGTCTAACTCACGAGGGCCATATATGAGTGCCAGATAGCTTGAAGCACAAATCATTTGCATTCGTTTGAGCTCCTGCCTTGCTGTCCAGTAAATCAAGTTCCTCCTCCGTCAGAATTGGCTTCGCCACGATTCCTTTTATCTTGCTCAGGGCGCTGTAGAAATCGTCCTGATGCGAACCAACTTCGGCCACGCAGTCTGACTGGCAAGGGTAAACATATATACTGTACATATATATATATATATACATACATGTTTATATACTTAAAGAACTAAAGATGTCCTTCTCGTCCGTCATCCAGTGGTGAATCATTTCGTTGATTTCCTGCGAGAGATGCGTCACCACTCCACACTCATGTGCGCTCGCCAAGAAAGAACGCTGACATTCAGAAAATGCCACTGACCTCGCGGAGCTGATGCCCGCAGAGCTTCAGCTCCCTCCCGGGAACAAAGCTCAGCGGATAGTCCTGTGGTGAAACAGCGACATGCTCATTAACGCAAGCAGCCAGCAGCCAGTATTCGGGCCGTCCGGAAGGCCGAGGAGCTGCAAAGCTTCCTTCATCCCGTTGTAGCTGCGCGAGACCATAGCGCTAATGGCCTGGCTGGCAAGTGGCAATGCTTGCATTCAGAGCGCGCTTGTGCACAAAACAACTTGAGAAGTCTGGTGGCAGGTGTGGGTGTCTACAGCGATGACGTGTGCTGGCCAGAGGGGCAGTGACGGGCTGCTGGGAGTGCTGATACCATCTGTCCGATCGCAAGTGAAGGCGAGATAAGGCGAGAGACAGCTCCAAAGCGTCCTCCGGGCATCCATCAAGCAGGTGCAGCATCCGCATACAGTATGTGGTTTGAGGCTTGTTCTTTTTGCGATGCTCTCTTGACCATTGTTGGCCCATTTTCTTGCAGGAAACGCTGGATGCTTGAGAGCCTGTGGCAGAAATGAAAGCTCAGCGCTCGGAGCCCCTTCTTCCACTCCTTGTTTGATGCAGGCAGGCAGGCTAGGGCCAACAGTTGGAGACGATATGCCCGAGCTTGACATAGCCCCAACAGGCCACCAAACGAGCAACATCCCAGACTTGTCCTTTCCTTCCACAGAGGCCCGAGAAGTGGACGAGGAGGTCTGAGGACGTCTGTGCCCCCGTCTCTCGTTTGGGCGTCCCCAAAATTACTCCCAAGATTCCCCAAGAGAGCACATTTGGGCCTCACAGGCCCCGCCGCTTCTCTCAACAGGACCCTCCAAAACGCTGACCCCGGCGCTCCCTTGCAGCTGCCCCCGAAATCGGGACGCTCGAGGCCCAGCCCATTCTCCTGGATCCCATTCACGGCCCCATATAATTGGGTATTTGAAAGAAGCGTCCGCTCATGAGGAGCTCTCTTGATTGTGTTGGGCCCACTGCGCAACCACCCTATACAATTCAGATTCTGCAGGCTACGTGCCGCGCGGGGCCTGAGACAGAGACTCAGGTATTTCCTTGCGATATGCTTGGAATGCGTGCCGAGTTTTCTATGGACATTGGAGGATATGATAATATGATTTTGAATCTCTTGTCGGAACTGGGTGGCAGAATTAGCAAAATTGAGCCAGCGCTATCCGCATGGTTCAGTGCAAATGCACGCTTAGCCAGAGCATGCCAAAGCAATGTTCACACGTGATAGGGGCAATCCACCGCTCTCGCAGCAACATCCGCTTCGAATTCCAGCCATCCAGGAATGCGCCGAAGTTGTTGGTATGTTTTTTTTACGTGTTCCACGCCTAGCCCCCTAGAAAAGCTCCATGATCATGGCCTGGTTTGTCAACTAGGGGGCACCTTGATAAAGCAGATGCCTGCGCTTCGTTGCATGATTTTGGTGGCCCGCCTCTTACTTCGTGGCCAACCCGTAACATCCATTAATACAAAGACGTGAAACAAGAGATCAGTGCACAGGAACCATGGGATTCCACAGCGGCAAGCTTAAATTTACGCATGTAATCAAGAGTCCCGATATACACCTTGACCGGAGAATACCGGAGATGTACCAGACTGACTAGGCGCTTGATGCCTCAAGTGATACGGATCTCCATGTACTTTTCGCCCGTAGAGCCTCTAAGTGTGGCAAGTCAGGAGAGATTGTTTGTTTCTGGGAAGGCCATACAAGGTGTTCTGAATTCTGACTCACCTTCCCAACATAACTTGCGATCTTTGTGACGTCGTTAGCATTGACCTGGCCACTACTTTGACATCGGGAGAGCCGAAGTAGAATCGAGGTCAATGGAGAACGCCTTTTCCCAAAACCATTTTCCGAATTTGGACTGATAGCACGCGCTGCGCTGAAAAAAGTCAAGACGGCTAGTTTAGGAAGTACAACGCTAGGTTGCTCAAAGTCTAGAAGGTTTCGCATCTCATGCCTTGAGCCCCAAAAAAGGGCCAGGATCAAGCAGCTTCAATTGATCTGGTGTCTTTGGTTTTACGACAATATGCTTTGCACGTTCGCACGAAGTATCATGAGACATGTACCTTGGATATGAATGGAACCCTCGGCTGTCGCCTTCGGGTGGCTTGAACAACTGCTACGTGCATGACTGCGCGTACTGAAGTGAAGCCCAAGGGGGAAGACATCAGATCTTCCAAGAAAAAACTTTTCACAAGGATTAATCTATGTGTACCACTCATCTGCTCGATTCCATCCCCCTGGCAGTCTTCATTTATCATCCCAGGTAGGTTTATCAAGCCTACAAACACGAGGGTCGCTGACCAACTACACGAGGGTGGCGGGTCTGCGGCGAGTAGTAGGTAGTGGCGGTCGGCGGGGGCCGCGCCACAATAGCAGCAGCAGAAGTCAGGGAAAGCTAGCAAGTCAGAATAATCAAAGCCACAGAGGCTTCAGACCGCCAGTGTTCACTGAAGCAAGACCAGCCACTCGGGAAACAAGAAAGTGCGAGCCGCAAAGCCTGACATGTCTGCTATGGTTGGCTTCTGTGCACACTTGCCCCGGATTGCCACCAAGAGAGCACATATCAACAAAGTAGACACATCACAACACAACCACGAAGCCATGCCTGCTCACATGTATCATGGTCTGGCTGCGAAGATCCAGATTGCCGAGCTGGTTGTGGCCTCGTAGGGACGAGCCCATCACAGCCGCAAATGGGCAGAATGCAAACTTGCCGGCCAGGGCTGCTGCTTCAAACTGCCACCAAAAGATAGGCCTTTCCTATCATGTCCGTATAAGAGTTCTCGCAAGAAGTTCACTTCCATATGCACGGTCTGCATGGCGCCAAGCACGCAGCTGCGGCGTGTTCTGGTCTGTTCCGCTCTTCTTCCAAGAGAAGGTAGAGCTCCTGCCATGGTGTCTTTGCAGGTAGGCCAGTTGACCCGCGCAATCTGGTCCTGTCTGCGTTCTGCCCTTGAGCAGCATAACCACTTCTTGCGGACTCAGCTGGCAGATGAGCCAAGGGGGGCTAAGGCTAAGTCCATCGCGAGTCTAGCTAAGCATGATGGTCGTTCTGCACGCCCTTGGCACTGATTGGAACAAGCCCCCGGGGATGAGATTGCACATCATCGACTGCGACTGCCCATTGGAAGGGCTCGATCAACTCAACACTGCAACGCCAACACACACACACACACACACACTTAGATACACACTTGACACTGGGAATTCCCCGAGCATGTGTATCTCAGCACTCAGAAAGATTTCAAGATCTCACTGAGATAGAAAAATGTTACGGAAGGTCTTCAAGAGGCTTTGTTACTTTTGTGGAGATGTACTGATTCCTGACCAAGTTGCAATAGACATTGAGTAGTACAAAGGACATATCCACAAAAAAATCAAAGAACCTAAAAAACTAAACCACTGCAGTAAGGAAAATCTTTGCTCTGAAGAAGCTCCAGGCTCATCTGTTTTGTTGCTGCGTACTCTGGGGGACTTGGGGGAAGGTACGCCCTTAGGGGTAAGTTAAGTTATTGTTGTTATTGTCGTCGTCGTCTCGTCGTCTTAGGGGGGCCTAAGGGACCTTAAGCGTACCCCCTTCTGCACCCCACTGCCACCCCCTAGGGCTACAGAAGGGGCCTTCCTGGGGGTGTCTTCGTTGGCAGGAGACCCCCAGAGCTCCTGCCCTTGCTGAGCGAAAAAAGGGAATGTCCCGTTGTAGCCTTGGGTTTTACATACACAGAGATGTTGATGGACAAGAATTCTGCGCAGTGCCGCATAAATCAGCGGCCTCAAACTTCCGGCCACGGGTGATTGGAGATACAACATCTCAGGAGACGCGTTGTGCGGCAAGGAAATACAAAAGCAGCGCGGCTGAAAGTACTGCAGAGAAAGCTGAGGCCCTCGGCCATCAGCTGCCGACTTGATGCTCTGAGCTGCGTACTTGGTTCGAATCAACGCCCATGCTCCGCGCTGCTCTCCTGCTCCACAAGTACAGACACAGCTATTAACTGTGGTCTTAGAAGATGGCCGAAGAACTTGACTCATACTGTGGAGAGATCATACCACCGCGTGGTCAAGTCCTGGCTGCCTCTTCTTTCGACCTGAAAACATTGTAAACCGGCAACTGCTGCAATTTGCTATATCCAGCCTGGCAATCGTAGCTTGCCGTGCCTCAGCATCAAATCAAGCTCCTTTGGCAGCTAAGCAACTCTGTCCCTGCCTTCTCTCGCTCATACTCTTCGCGTCGCGCTTCATCCTGCTGCAGAGGACGGCGCGGGAGGGCCATGCAAATCCTTACTCTGCAGCTTCCGAAGCCTCAGCTGCTCTCCTTCGTGCATCGGCTAGCTCCTGCTCGCAGCTTGGAACAGTTTCCAACAATCGTATTGTCACTTTGCTTCTGCAATAGAAGACGCAAGCCACGCAGGAGCAGCAAGCCTCCTGCTTCCTTGTGAATGTATCGAAACTTTCCTGTGAGAAATGCACACCGTCTCCACATCGGTCGTCCCAATCACAAGACAAAGTAAGATGGCCGTCTATCAGTGTCGACCCTCCTTGTGGCCACTATCTTCCGAAGGCGGTTGCACCTGCGAGCGCCGCAATTAATTAACACGTTTGAGCCGGTTGTCACCAAGACATCAGCTCATCGTTCTGCTTTCCATGCACTCAGAAGGCTGCAAGCTCCCATGTGGGCCGCAGAGCAGGTAAAGCTTTGTGGTTCAGGGCCCTGCCTTCAGCCGCGACGAGAATGCCATGCTAGATAGCGCGGGCAGCCACAACCCCGGCAACTGTGAAGAAGCTTGATTGTGACACGGATCGTGACGGCAACCTTCGGTGCAAATGTTCAGCTGCAGTATCGTTAAGTTGTTCTGTCATTCCTACTTGTATGGACCCGTCTTGATGATGGGATTTGATCCGCCATGGATCAGTCTTTGTATCTCACGGCCTACCCCTTTGATGAGCATCCTGACGGTGCAAGGCAAATGTGGCAAGCAAATTGTCCTCACTTGCTACTACTTGAAACCTCCTCGACTAGGCACTTCAACATCCCGGGCATTTTGCACGTTCTTCTGCATGCAGCTTGTCCAGAGTCTGAGTTAATGCACATGGAGAGAGACGAGATCCCACGCGTGAGCGAGGTCACATCGTTTTCAGTATCTGCGAAATTCTGCTCAGTCAAGCATTTCCAGCAAACCTTCACGTCATTTGTGTCAAGTAAAAAATGTCATCAGGCTGGACTGCCGGCCACGAATTTAGAAAAAAGAGCACGGAAGGTGTGAATCACTCAGTGATCGCACCCGCAGCGTGCTGTATTCATCAGTGTCGTTGGCGCGGCCCACGTCCACGGCCAAGCGGTAAGTCCACCTTCGGAAAAGCGGGAGTTTTGGAGTTAAAGTTCCGAATATCAGATCAAACGGTCTGGGCATCGAGCAGGCTCGAGACCTGCTGCATCTGGCGTGGTGTTCTTGGCAGCCTGCAAATTTCGACAGATCAGACAGGACCAGAGCGGCCTCGCATCTCTCGAATCATCTCGAACCCCACCTGCGACTGCTTCAATAAAGCCTTGTAATCTTCCATGTGGGTACTTACCATGCCTTTCGGCCTTACGTTGTCAGATGGAAGCATGGAAGCTGCGAGCGCTACAAGTCTCTGTAAGGCACAGGCACAGCACCAGTTTCTTTTAAAATTAGCTTGATGCGTTTCATGCAAAAGTAACCTGAGCAAACAGTGAACAAGCATGCAATAGTAGCCTTTGGGCTTCTGCTGAACTTGCTCAGTCTTCCGCGTGACGCGATTCCCGACGCAGTTGGCCTGGGTGAACACAAAAAAGCTACGACAGGTCCGTTGAGAAGGCGCAGCAGTGGGCGCACCGTTGCATCAGATCAGGGCGCACGAGTTCGGGCCTGAGTTTGCTTTTCTTTGGATTGTCAGGCAGATGTGATCAGTCGAGCGCAGCACAACTCACCGGCAAGCTCTACGGCTGCTGGGCTTGATGAAGAAGAACAACCTTCAGCAACATGCTCTTGACTCTTGCCGGATTGGCATAGAACAGGTCAGTGCCAAGTCATGCTTCTGCAGATGCTGGGCCATCCACGAAGCTGGTTGAGCGTAGACAGCGCGGCCACCGCGTAATTGGTACTGACACCAGGCAATTAGCAATACAAGGCAAGCATGCGCACCTGTCAAAAAATTTACTCATATTACTGTGGGACAGAAGAATCGATGACTTACCTTGCCTCTGCGAATCCAAGATGTGTAATTTCTGACTGTCAGACTGAGCTTAGGACGCACCATTAGTTGGGCCGGCCATGGAAGGATCGAAAGCACGCACATGCTCCTCGCATGGGGCAGCAACTGCGAGAGGTTGGAGGTACTGCTGGCAGCTGCTCGCACTGAGCCTGGGCTTCAGCCATGCTTTGCACATCGGGAAAGAGCGGGTGAAGCCTCACGCCACACAAAGCTGTTCCAAAGGGCGCCTGTGACGGCTTGCTTGACGCGTTTGCGTGCCGTGAAGAGCAGCGGCACTACTGAACTGGACTGCAAACTGTGAGTGAACCTAGCTTTCCTAACAAAGGCTCACGCGTTAAAGCCTCAAAGAAGGAGACTCCAACCTTGCTGGCGCTGGGGCACCAAATGCAGTTCTGCTGTCCTAACTCTACGCATCAACACGACTAGGTGCCCGGCACACCAAAGGTCAGATGCTGCAAAGTATGTCTCCTCTTGGCGGCTCATTTGGTTGTAGGATGTTGTAGGCCTGGTTGGGATAGCTGCTCAACAATGCCCAAATGAGGAGGTCCTGCAAAAGCGCTTCAGGACTGGCGTACGATGGACCTGCTCTTATGCTCATGCTCACAGTGCTGCACAGCTGCTTGATGCACGGTGACCTTACTGCCAAAGATGCTTGGCAAATTGGGCCCAGGCTTGTAACAGGCGCAACCACTTTGGCATGAGGATTGGGAAATGGCCTATGCAAACTGCTCGTGGTCATGCAGGTAAGCACTCGGGAATCAAATCTTCATGTCTGAGAAGGCGGCCCTGTCCCAGGAAGCAGCATGGCACTGCCCAGATCGCCAATCTGCAGCCACACATGAGGAATTCCAAAGCACCACGAACACAGTGGTTTGAGAGCAAAAATGCCGACTGAATCTTTCCATACAAAAGAAAAGAGCTGAAGACCTTCTTGCGCCATCTTTACGGGGACATCTTGTATCTGTAAGTCTATCGGTAAGTACCTGTAGGCTCAGAATCCATGAATATCCATGACCCATATCACTTGTCCTGCAATAGCCGGTTGTTGGTTGCGATGAGGAGGTTTCCCGGCTTGATATCGCGGTGAATGACCTCCGCCCGGCCATGCCCACTTCCAAGCTGACAAACCCTGCAGCAATAGGATCCAACAGCATAGGCGCAGGCCCCTCTCCAGTGAAGGTATGCAAGTCCATGGAGGGTTTGTACATACCTTGCAAGCCACACCCCGAAAATAGCAAAGTCTGCTATTTCGAACTGCCCGAGATGTGAGAAGCAAACCAGTCTGCGACTAGTTCGACCGAATGCTGTACTTCTTCTGACTCAGCTCCTCAAGCCACAGCTGTCAATTACTGTTTGGCCATCACTCGGAATTTGAACTTGACACAATTTGGCGTTTGTCCTCTTGCAGCCTCAATTCTTTGCAACAGGCTTCCCCCATCCTGGCACAGGTCAGTCTATCTGAGTCCAAGTGGACACCGAGCACGGGAGGAAACGTGCAGCTCTGACCAGCAATGGCATCACCACATACCGCCTGCAGCAGCCACAGCTTCGCCGAAAGCGGGGCTGCTCTTCTACATTCATGTTCACTGGCTGCCAGGGCAGGCTTGCCCCTGAGTATTCTGCAGCTTCTCAGTGTGGTTTTCCCATGTGTCCAAAGTGAAGACAACAGTTGGCCAGCCTGGAACAAGTAGTTGTCTGATAGCTACTCCCTACAGACACAGGAGAATGTGCTTTTCCAAGCTTCATGCTGAGCTCCCGAAGCAGCCTGCATTGCAAGGCCAAGTTTTGCAGGCAAGGCAGGGCTCAACAGAAGGCGTAGAAGCTAATTCAGCACCCCTCAGGAAGTCATCCCTAGCACCCTCGTATACCCTCGTGGCAAGTTGGTTTTGCGCTTGCTATTCAACGCCCCGCGCGTGCGCGCGCGGAGATTAAGAGGCCCCAGCTGATGGTATCACACTCCAGCCGGAGCACCAGGTGCTGGGGCCTCTTAGGGGTCTGCAATGACACTCACACATGCCCATCTTTCCTCTGGACGGGACCAGCAGATCCGGGGCAAAACATATAACAGCACAACATGACTCCCGGAATGGCATTGAGGGGGAAGAACAGAGTGGACAGAGAGAAGACAGCAGCAGCTGAACTCATCGTGACCTCAGTTCGCGCTCAATCTCCTCGTTGGCATTCTTGAGTCGGCGCCTTAGCGGGGCCATGCCATGACGTACGCTACACAAATCTGGGATATGCTGGGCGAGGTTTGAACGAGCCAAGGACATGTTAATTTCCTTCAAGGCAATAGTCTCGTTGTCACGCAATCGCTTAGCCTTGGAAGGCGCCATGCTGGTAAATCCATTGCATCTGTGGCGGAGGCCGAAGCCTTGTGGACACAGGCAGTGGCACCCCTGCCCAAAATGTCCTTCCAAAGCACCGCTCTTGAGATCACATTGAATTTCGCATGGATATAATGTTGGACCCTCTTGGTGTAGAGGTCCCCTATTATACTGTGTTTTGGGGGCCGCTTATTGAGGATCAGGGGTAACTATTGTGAGGTCCCCTATAATGTTTTTTTTTTTAAAAAAAAAATTGGGGCCCTAACAATATAGAAAAGATTCTCAACTCTCCCTCTTAAATCAGTCCGCAGAAACCTCAGAAGTGTGGGAGGCTGAGGGCCTTCTTAGGGGACCGTAATTTCTATTTATCTGAGGGCCCTATTGTCAGGCGGGGGGAGGGGGGGGGACACTGAAGAGGGTCCCACATTAGACCCCTGGTGTGGGGTGGTAAAAGAAAGAAGCAATGAAATCTACGAAAGAGTCAATGGAATCTACCTACATTACTTCCACTGCGCACAAATACTAAATGCCATCACAGCTCAGCACATGTAGCTCAGACCAGGTACTTGGCATGAATGATGTGCAAGTTCTTTTGGGCACGGCTTGTTTCCAAGTTGGTGTGCCGCAGTAGCCACATTTAATCTAATCAGCCGGGGATCTCATGAATCGCGAGGTTGTCGTCGTTGTGATTGTGATACTGATGCTGGAGCTCTTTGTCTTGATGGCTGGGCCCCTAGCTAGCTGAAGGGCCATAGGGGGTCTGACCACAGGGAGGAACCGAGCAGCTACTCGATGGGATGAAGATAGAATGGCGGTGAAGGGATATTCCAGCAGGTGAGGTTGGCAAAAACTATGATAACCCTAGGCCCTAGACTCCTAGACCATAGACTTCATGCTTGCGCTTCTTTGCTCCACTGGCACTATGCCTGACCATGTGAAGGAACGGACGGGTCCAGCAGCAGGTACTCCTCCAGTCTCCGCTGGCCAGCTTCTGACACGACCTCGCAATCTCAACATTGAAATGCTTGCTCGACGTTCTTGACTGCAATTGGCACCAGTTGATGCTCGCAGTTCACGTCAGAAACATGTCTCTCTCAGTTTCCAGCTTCCGAGTCACAAGCAGCTGCATAGAAATTTCGTTCGCTTTGTGCTGTCGCAAAGTGCTGAAGCTTTCTGATCAAAGGTGCCGAGACCGGACATGCAACCCCAACAGGCTGTAAGAGGTCTTCTGTTCGAGACCCCGGACCTCCTGACGGCACGTGGACCCATGGCGCCTGACGCCACGTTCTGAAGCCACATCCCGCGTTACAGCTTATGACGCCACGCTCCAAAGCCCCTTCTCGTTAGGACAGCGGATCTCACTTCTTCGCTTCGCCCGACCTGTCTTTGGGGTGTGTCTTGGCACGCCAGTGTCATGCCAGCGCCTCTTGGCGACGATGCGTGTCTTCACCAGACCTTTCTTCGCAAAGTGTCTTCGCACCTCCATGTGTCTTCGCGATGACGCATGTCTTCGCCCGGCCTGTCTGCGGCAAGTGTCTCCGCACGCCCAGGTGTCTTGCTCCAAGAGGTGCCTTTGCCCAACATGTCTTCGGCAGGTGTCTTCTGAGGCCAATGTGCGTTCACTTCGGGAAGCGTATTTGCCAGGGAAGTGTTCTCAGAAAGTGTCTTTGGATGCCCACGTGTCTTTGCTCCAAGAAGTACCTTCCCCGAACATGTGTGTTCAGACGCCCCCGTGTCTTCGCCTAGCATGTGACTGCTGACGCCCAGCTGTCCTCACAGGCCACTCTTCGGAGCCTCAATCCTAGACTCCATGTATCTTCAAAATATGTCTTCGGTCTTCAAACAAAAAGTGCACCCATGCGACTGCAATGCTCTTCTGCCAAAGCAGGCCAAAGCATTATGCAAAGTTCCACGACAAGGTCTTCAACAACAAATCCCACGTTGCAGTGCTGTAGGAGAATCAATGCATTTGCAGATGTCACGCAAACATCTGTCTTGCTAAGTGCAAGAACATTAGAAAAGGGCCCAAAGCCCACGAGGAGTGGGGAGAAATGACACTCCAGAAAGCTTGTGGCCCTCAAAAAGATTCAAAAAGTAGCCGTGATGTTTGCGAATGCTGTTTTCTGATGAGAAATGGAGACCCAATGGTGATGGAGGCTCGAGTCTCCGCTTGTCACCCCTGCGGCCTCCGGTGCCCGCATTGTAGATGCAGGCCATGGACGGGGATCAGAGCATGCCAAAAAGTGCAGGAAAATATAGAGGCAGCGCCCCTCCTTTGCAAGCCATTGGCGAATACCCCTTTAGAAGACAAGGACAGGGATGACAGTACGTGAAGTTTCATACGATGCCTTGCATGGCTGAGCAGCCGGTGCTCAGGATGTTGTCCTGCAGCTGGCGGAGTCTGAAGTTTAAGCATGTGTGACTATAGCATGGAGAGAGTGGAGGTCGTCACCTGTCATCATCGTAGCGTCTTTGCGGTAGCAGCAGTGGCAGCTAAATACTAGTAGCAGTAGTACCAGTAGTAGCAGCAGCAGTAGGGTCACGTTGCATATCTGACATGGTGTTTGCTACCTGCAAAACTAGGCTTTCATTTACAAACATCAAAAGCGCGGCCAGTTGTCTTTCATTTGGGTTTGCTCCACTAGTGCAAAGTTATCGCCCGGCTGGTCCAAGTGTTGGAGGAGTTTTTTTTCTCGGGCTCATCCCATTAGTTTAATGTACACCTGAGGAGGTGTACCAGCAAAATTTACCCAAAAGTGGAACACCACGAGGCATCAACTTCCCTGCCAAACGGCAGCGACCAGTGTGTTCTTAGGACAAATGCTCATCCTCTCCACCTTCGAATTCCATGGCTTCCTGGCTACGCTGATTTATGTTCATCTCCTAGTCACACAGTCTGAACATATGATTACTGCTTCAGCCGAGCGCCAAGGCTGTTCATTTCCGACAAATGATAAAACTTATGCGGCGGCACCACGCTGGCATTGTCCTCACTGGGGTGCTGTTTTTCTGGGGGAGGCAGGTGCTGGACATGGATGCGGTGTCTTTGGGACGACCTGGGGCCCGGCCGGTGAAGAACACGCATCCAACCGCAAACAGAAACAGCTTCTTCAAGTGCAGGGTCACATTTAGGAGGCCCTCCTCCAATGGCTGATGTACCATGGCCTCCCTGGAAACACAACTTGCCTACTTTTCAGATTAAGGTGCCAAAGATGCGCACCATGAGAGATTCGTCCGCAGCATCCTGTGTGCATGAATGCATGCATTCATGCATGCATGCATGAATGAAGAATGGAACGAATGAAGGAATGAATGAAGCAAGAAATCAAGGAATGTGGCTGGTATGGTTGTCGTCGTCACTGCACCCGGTGTCGAAATACTGGCAGTAAGCTAGCACGAGTATTAGTACTCCAATTGCTTTGCCAGTGCTGCCAGTGGTCCTCGGTTTGTCAAGGTGCAGGGAAAGAAAGGCAGCAGTGAGCTGACTGTGAGCTACAGTCAATATTTCTGACATAATTTAGGTTTAGTGGGCAGGGGTTCCTTACTATGGACTATATTGGGGACTATGCTAAACTACAAGAGGGAACCGAATGTCCGCTGCTAAGGGTCCCTTAGCAAGGCTCGTACTGACAGTAGCTCATGACGTATCACAGAGTGGGCCCATTATAACAAGGTGGCACGATATTTTAGTGGATTGGAACCTCAATCAGAAGCTGCTGCACGACATGGCCATCACACGAAATATTCCGTGACAAGGCCTGTGCCAAAAGATGTGGGGAAAGGGCAAGCAGTTAGCTGGCAGTTTGAAGATCCCTTCAAGCAGGAGACAGCACGAGAAGGAAGGGCTAGTAATTGGCTGCAAAACCGTTTAACAGGAAATCAGATTTAGAAAGAACTAGGACAACGCCTTTATCTTATAGAAACTGCTGATGAAGCGTACACACATCTCCAAAGGGTACGAGTAGCACATGAATAAAATGAGTCTACTATGGTCGAGCCTACTCTTCAGTACCCTACCGTGCTGCGCAGCCCATTCATGCATCTGCTGTGTGGTGTTTTGGATGAAGTTGCATCTTTGTTTGCAAGGGGCTTGTGAACAATCAGGACCGGGACTGGTCGCAACCCCAACAGCACCTGGATTCACGGACCAATCCGTTTGGCACAAGACACCCTCTGGGAGCCCTCCCGCTTCCTTTAGCGGCCCAAAGCGTCCTTAAATCTTCGATGCATCTCTTCTTGGACTCTTCAGGTTCTTTTGCCCTCTCCCCCCCAACCCCTGAAAAAATCCTCCTACCACCGGCTCTACTCGCCCTACGCCTTACCGTAAACCCGAAAACCCTACGCCCTGAATCGCGAAACAATGTTGCAGCAAAAAAGCCCGTCAACCCTGAATCCTGATTCGAGGTCCCCATACCAGAACACTACTTGAAGACTGGAAGTCCAGGTGACGTTTGAAACTCAAGTGACATCCTCAGCTCGAACCAGACTCCTAGGCGTCGTCATTTAGTCTACCACAGGTAACATAAAAGTATAAAAGGGCATTGCTGGCAACGCGGTAATCTTAGTGGAACCACCCCCATCCTATTCCTCCCGTGCACTCTAGTTCCTCCAGTCTACCGGTCCGACGTTCTGCCACAGCACCTCTGCCCCAGCTTCATGGAAAGCCATACCCACGCATGCTAGCGTTGACAATTACAATCACTTGTTGACGTAAATACTTTTGTTGCTGGATCTGCGCATGCGTGGGACACGGGCAATCGGCTTTGAGAAGGCCCCAGCTATCAAGAACCTTCTGCCGAGCTTTGGCGGGGTTCCCTCGGCCAAGCCCGAAACCTCAACCTCCGAACTCATCGTCGTTGCTTATTGGACCAGACTTCCGGGCATTATTTCAAGCAAGGGCTCTTGTCTTGTTCCTTACTCCCTGCCGTCCTTCCTCCGTTGCTTCCTCCCCCCTTTCGCTGTAACTTTCGTGAATTGTCATCTGCTTAGGTTCTCGATTGTTGTTGATGTGTAGTTGGTTTCACATACATCCTGATGCGCTTTCTTGACGATCCTTCTTCGTTTTTTGAAGTACGTCCATCAAAGAAGCAAAAACGAGCATTGTTCAAGTCGCTTACCCCCAGCTGTCCCCAATGGCGAGACCCCTAGGCCATGGTAGACCCGACACTTTCCTGCGTTCAAGTTATGATTGCTGTAAATCCGGCGTTGCGGGAGCAACCACGAACAACTGCCGCCAACAAGCGTCTGGGTTGGCCGGAGAGGCGCTCACTTAACCAGAATGATCCGGCTGAAAAGCGTGCTCATAATGAGTCCGATAAGGGCTGACTAGCCCACAGGAGTAGAAAACGCTCGTGCTGGAGAGGGGCAAGGAGTCTCTGGCTCTTGAAGCAGTCGAGACGTCAAATTACAAGCATACGTAAGACCACGCACTTGTTGCTCGCGCTTGCTAGCAACTCACTTTCAGTCTCTAGACATCTGCAGCAGTCGACGGGACTCAGACCAACAGTCGTATCTCCTTCAATTTTGTTGACTCTTCTTGCCCTCCACCATCAACAAGACTGATCTGTTCCCTGGGACCTCCACAGCTGCTTTATGACTTATAGGCAATAGTTCACCATTGGCAAATGAGCCAAGAAGAATGCCTGAGCGCTTGACTTTGGACAGGCTATCAAGCGAAAGCGGATGGATCAAGTAATCGCAAATGCCTGGAAGTAATAGCCAAGAGCAGGTGGGGTGCATGCTCCGTCGAATGTGAGCAGTGGATGCCTTTGGCACGGAGCTTCTCGCGAATTTCACCTTCCCCTGATGCCAGCAGCTGACGACCTCGACACTGTCTTCTGGCTTGCTGCATGGCTGAAGCATTTGCAAACCCGGGAGCAGCGCCTACCTCCTCAAATTCATCTGCCTTTTCAAAATCAAAAGGTGCCGTCTTTGTCCAGACGTTTTTCAAGTGGTTGCTCATCGAACAGTACACATCACCGGCGCTTTGATTGCTCCACCAGTCACGGAAAGCACTGCGCACCTCGGTGATCAACACCACGTAAACGCCCTGTTGCTGCCATTCTTCTGGAAGGCCTGCGCAGAAACACACGACGAACTCTTCTGCTGTGCGTTCTGCATACCACCTCGCATGAGCCAGGCCATCCCCAAAAAGACAATCTGAGTCGGCCTGCAGGAGGCACGTCACATCTGATGCAAACTTACAGGTGTCCCATCCGCCACGTTGCCCCAGGCCTTTCAATCATGACGTTACCAGCACCCCTGCCAGTTGTGCACAATGCCTCAGGCACAGCATATCACAGCATGCTGGAGCACGCATCATCTTTCGAGATGTACAGTCATCCGATTTTGACTGACAGCCGAGCTCTGCAACGCCAGTCGGGCAGCTTGTCCCCGGGACGACCTTCCAGCAAATCCTCGCAAGCTTGCGCACAGTCTCTTTCATTCTTTCTGCGCTGGCAACTGTACAGCTCTTAGCACCGCGCAGCCCCACCTAGCACACAAGGAGATCGTCTCAGTCATCATGCACTTGCCGTGTCCAGAAGCAAGTCAGCTGCGCGGGTTGACACCATGCTGTGAACAGAGCCGCGAGAAACCAACGACACCACGCGGTGTATGGTCTCTTGCGAGGCCTGCATGCTGCCCAGAATGCCCTTCAGCCCCAACCATCACAGACTGTGAAAGGGGAAGCCTCTGTAAGAGCCTCCGTTGCACGAGAGAAGCTGTTGAACGCATGGCACGGATACCTGGCTTCTCAAAGCAGACTTTGAAAAGTTCGAAGCATGTTACGATTTGCGGTCATGGAACGACAAGATTCTACACAGCTCTTCTGCTTCGTCTCGCAGCTTCTGCCGCTTTTCGACCTGTCATGTTGGTAAAATCCGGCTATTGCAGCTGCACAGGCTAAGGCCAGAAATCAAATCTGATAGAACAGCTTAGGGGGGGGGGAACCGAGTAGACGGATTGGCCTCTGCACGAACACCCCCCTTTAAAAAGTTGAGTTTAGGCGTCTCGCTAGTTTTTATACACTTTCGAGTGCGAGATGCATGCCAAGCAAGCCACTGTCTCGCTCAATGCGCGTTGTCAAAACGGCCGGCACTGCTTGATTTGTGGGAAGCAATATTCGCGGCTGCGCAGGCGTGCTTTCAGGGCTCACTGGTCAGGAAATTTTCAGTGTCAAAACAGCATGTAGCCTTAGACAATCACAGAACGTTAGCAAGGGGCCGCAAACTACCCTCCAAAGACATATAGCCAGAGAAGATCACATTTTAGGAGCGAAGTCTAGAGTGGAAATGTGACAGGAAACGCTTCGAAGCTCCAGCGAAGAGGTCTGAGAGCACATGTCGGTGCTACCACAAAGATCTCAGCCGGCAGCTGTGTATCCTCCGAACCTGGGGCAAAAAAAATTGGAAGCACTGCGACAAGCACGTCCAAGAAGAGGAGCTCTTGTTGTGCCTCGTGCCTCGTTCACGACGTACAATCTTTCGAAAGCCACGCAGGAGTTCCCTTTCCTCCTCCTTTACCTAATGTGGCACGTGTGATGCTGCTCCATGACAGCGCAATCTCGTCTGTGCCTCTTCATCTTCTTTCAATGTTCTCTCCGCCTCCTTGAGCCTGCCCGTGACAACGTCCAGCAAAGCCTCAGCAGAATAGCTCTGAAGCAACGTGTCTTCCAAACGAAGATTGAGAAGCAGACGCGCTGTTGGGCGAGAAGCTGCTTTTGCCACTCGTTTTGGGTACGCAGGCACCTCATCAGCAAGCAAACTCGCAAGAGCATGGCCTCCAAGCGCCTGACGATAATTCTGCAACAGGATTTGCTAAGGGGCCAACTTGGATTTGAAAGCGATCCGCATTGTCTGCTTGCCCTGGAATTCGATAACCCTTCATTGTTGCGACCACTCAACGTTGCACGCCCGGCCTCCGTCCCTCCCAGCTTCAAGACTTCGGCGCTGATCACTTCTTTTTCCTCTCAGCAAGGCGGCAAAGGACTTGAAAGCCAGAACTGAATCAGCAAGCTCTGACACAATGTCCGGCTTTCCAGTTGTGTCAGTTAGCGTCGGCCTCTGCGCCGGCGCCCGCGACCATCGCGTCGCAATACGAATGATACGTCAGGGCCTGAGGTGAAGATCCCAAACTGTTTCACACCCGCGAAGGCGTTTCTGAAGTTCAGTTCACAAGACCATGTAATACCTCAGCTCCTTTCCGACGCGTTGTCATCTTCGGGATGTGCAGAGACCGACCTTCCACCCGCTTTGCATGGCCAACCACACATGCCCATCAAAGCCACTTCGCCTTCCGAAATCGTTGTCTAGCTTGAGATCCAGAACAACATCGCCACCACTGACCTCAAAAAGCACACTTCCATTACCAGCAGCGTGCCTGGAAGATCCTGGAAGCTTTGCAGGCTGGCAGTATTTGGGACCGCCATCATAGGAGGCGAGGGAGGCGAAACCACTCCGACGCGCTGCTCCTGAGAACAGCCGCAAAACTCAGATTGAAGAAGCGTCGAAAAGGCTCGGCTATACTCTCCCTTCAAGGCCAAGCCTGGTCACCCTTGAGGACGGCGATGAGAAATTCCAGGAAAGCGGGGGCCGCTGTGTCCGTGTCCCTTTGACTGGCCTGCGAGTGGCAAGGGCCGCAGCTGTTTTGCGTTCCATCGGGGGCGTCTGCTTTCCTGCTCTGGCTGCTGAATCATTCCTGTACACGGGAGCCTCAACAATATTAAGCCTTCAAGACATCTGCCCTCACCGTCCATCCAGTCAAATCTCCATATAAAAAAAAGGTGCGGGCGGCAGCAGCAACAGCAACAGCAGCAAGTTGCGACTGCAGCAACGCCAGCGTTGCACCTGCTTTCGATTGAAGTCCGTGAAAGACGTGCAGCTGAAGTCCGACTGGGATCGATCTTGGCACGGCGCATACGGTTGCGAAAATAAGCAATCCAAATGCAAAGCAACTTTGACATGTGGAGACACAGCCCGCAAGCAAGATGCCAGGGGCATTTGCCCTCAAGACCTTCCACAGATCCTTACCACAATATTCTGAATGCACATTCCTATGAGAATTGCAGCGCACCAGAAACACAGGCCCAATGACGCTCCGATATTGAAAGCGGGTACAGGCCCCTCAGAGTTCTCTAATTAGACAAAAAGCATCCAGCACAACCTGACGCTGACCCAGTAGGTACGGGAAAGATGGCCGCGGCTCCTTTTGCCTTGTCTTGCATCATCTTGCGGTGCCACGGGCCAGGGCCAGGACTGAAACCTGTTCGAAGTTCCCGACCGGGGCTGCGGGGAGACGCCTCAAAGACTCCAATCTAAAGCGGGTCAAGAGAAATGTGCGGGCACGTCTTCAAGCTCAGGCCTGCTTTGACTGGTGCCTGGCCCCACAAGGTGGCATGAGCCAAGCATACCAATTCATGTCTCGCAGCTCTTGCCAGCAAGGCCTTGGAGATTCTGTCCCATCAAACCTGACTCGCGAGTTTGTCCGATTGCGGAGCATGCCTCATCAAGGGGCTCGCGTCATGTGGACAGTCGAATCCAGATCTTAGCGACCGGCTTGGCTTGCTCAGTACACTTTGGGTTGAGTCCTTCCTCGAATACCCTGGCGGCCTGAATGTGTTCCAACTTGCAGAAGCAACTAAGCACTTCGTCATCAGTTGTGGCTCTCGCCTGCCCGTTGGAGATGCTGCCGTGGAGGGGGACTGCGCAGAAGCATCCACGAAGGCAGTCACCAGCTCGGCCTGGCAAGCGGAACTGCCAAGTTCTTTGCGCATGCCCACCCTTCCAAGCTGGGGAACTAGATGTCCAATAATAATTAGCCAGCTTGACCGGAGACAATGTGGCCTTGTTCGCAGAAGAAAGAACCTGAATTTGCCGAATTCCGTGTGCTTACTCAATAGATTTTTTGTCTCATCCAACACACACAGTGTGAAACACACACACACACAACATGCGAAATCGCGAAACAGGCGGAGTCTGGATTCACAGACACTGAAGCTCTGACGACCCCACGGCCGAGCAAATTCAGTCCTCTCACGAGCAGTTGCTACACCAGACCCGGCTGCGGGCTGACACAAGCCGGCAGAACTTTCCGCGAGGGCGCGAAGTCGCTGCAATGCTTTCTTGTCCTGGCCACACACATCACCAAAAGCTCGGGGGCCTCTTCTGTTTTGCGAGCCAAGGTCGCCTCGACAGTAGCCATTTCTGCAAGAGAATTACAATCCGCTGCACTCGCAAAGCAGATTGCGAGGGCAAGCTCAAGCAACTGCCCCTTAGCTGCATTGGTGCTCAAGCGGCGCAGCTTTGCAGGTTGCGAGCAAGAGGTCAAACTGGAGCAGGAATGAAACACATCAAGCAACGCTTTGAAGAGCATGCCCTGAGAAGGTGAGCGGCCACGAAAATACACACCGCCCCACGGTCTCCTAAAACCGTTGGGACTAGTCGTGCTAGTGCTGATGAAACGATAAATCTAACCGTAAGATAAATTTTCAGGACAGTAGAAATGATGGGAGTAGTAGAAGGAGGCGTAGCAACAATTGGACGCACCCCAGCCCCCCAAGCATTTTTCGTCAAAAAACATAATGGAATCAACTAAACACCGAAATCATGGTTTTTGTCGAATCCCAAAAAAAACCTGCCCCGCCCCGCCCCCCCACCCCCCCCCC